TCTCCTGTCATCTCTCTTACACTTGCCTGACGATTTCCAGCACCATATTCTTCAGGTCGTCCAGAACGAGGCATGTCTTCAACGATCCCTCGACCGCCTTTGAAGGATTTATACCACTCCGTAGGCTTGTGTTTTTGATTAAACAGGTGGTAACTGCATTACATCACCAAAAAGTAAGTCATTTATGTCACCAAAACAAACAGACACTCAACGGTTTGCCATAAGTGCCGCGTCTTTTGCATCATTCAGTTTYTATGTCACTTCTTACGGGTAATATTTGAGCGACACTGTAAGATCGCCTTCTTACAAGTTTAAGCAGCTCAACAAAAAGATGCGCTTAAAAGTATGCAAGGTTCCAATCGAAAATACCCAGAACAATCACTTCTTCGCCATTGTACATGCGTAAAGAAAATATCCATAAAGTTCTTGGTATTCCTATGGTAAAGAAAGAAGGAGAGGACAGCATAATTTAATATATAATATCTAAAAAAAAAAGAATATTCCATATCTTCTCAATAACAGAACAATCGTTTCACAACTTTGTATATTAAAAACGTTCGGTAGTAACCGAAGTTATTGTTTACTTACTTATTGAGTTTAGATTCAAAATACGTGCCCCTTACCTGTATATATACTTTAGGAATTCCAAAACAAAAAGCAACAAAAATAATAAAAATTCAAATAATATTTTTTTATGTTTCATTTATTATTACGCAAATATTTATTTCTTAACAATTGTTAATTAACAAAAATAACAATGCTTCTTTAATATCGAATTCGACTAAGCTTAAACTATTTTATTTATTTCTTAACTTTTACTAACACCGCTAACCAGAAATTGGTTATTTCGGTAAATAAATACAACTYTATTAATAGTAAGTATCGTWAAAGTATGGAATTTTACAAAAAATATTAATAATGCTCCTTAGAGAACAGATTTGCATGTTATTCTGATTTAAATATAAAAAAATGCGCAGTTTAAATCAACCAGTCCGACTCAAATTTGATCGGTTTGTATATGTGTGTATCTGTATCTATGCGTGTGTGTATGTGTTCATTTAACAGTTTCTGATCACATATATATGTAGATATTATTTGTTATCGGTTATAATGTTTTAACGCAATAATAGTATTGCTTGATCTTACAGCAAAAAAGATATACAGTAAAATTCCTGATAAGCGGACATTCGCCGTTGAAGTGTCCGGCTATGAAAGCTGTCCACATATGCACGAAAAATTAAGTACACTTATTTAATTGAGTCTACTATAACACACCTATACATATGTACAAATTTCAAAAGATMTCGATATCTTCAGTATTTATGTATATATGTATGTACATACATATATATATGTCTGTTCGCCTACAGTTGTTTATTTACTTTAATTTCTTTACAAATAATACTCACCAACTACACAAGCGCATATAGTCAGCGTATTAATTACATACATATATAAGTATTACATATACATACATCTCTATCTGTTTAATGAGAAAACATTTAATTGCATTACGCATTTAAAGTTAAGAGTATAGCAGAAAAAGTACCACTATGTTAATTAACAGTGTCAGGTTAAAAGATTGCAACAGATGACTATCATTTTCATCACAAGTATTTCCTATAAGTACGTTAACATTTCATCATAAASTGATAATTTTTTACATTAGCTATGTATAAAAATCGTTTGTAACTCGTTGTTCGTTTAAGATATGATGAGCAGCGCTAAAATAATAGATATTTATCATTYACATTTTAATGACTCAAGCTTAACTTAAGGTGTTCAATA